GTGCAGGCCTCGGGTGGGGAGGCCTGGGATGGGATCGCAGCCCCTTGACGCGTTGGGGGCCTGAGTACCAGTTACTTAATCCCCACCAGCCTCAGCCTCCTCCTTTGTAGAAAGACGACAATGTGCATGACATTTTCAATGTCCAGGCAGACTTGGCCCATGGCCGCTGCTCCACAGCAGGGAGGGTTCATTTTGCATCACTGGCCTGGAGGTCTCGGGTGGCTGCAGAGGGCTTCACTCCACCCGTCTTTCCATCTGCACCTTCATGCCCACCAGGGAACCTGGCCATGGGTTCACAGGCCTGGGGGCCATGCAGGTCTCTATTTTGTAAATTTCCAGTTAGGCACATTCTTCACCTGATGTTCTGCTGAGCTGTTTTTTTCTGCTTTGTTTGTTTGTTTGTTTGTTTTTGGGTCAGAGTTTCACTCTTGTTGCCCAGGCTGGAGTGCAATGGCCCAATCTTGGCTCACTGCAACCTCCAACTCCCAGGTTTAAGCAATTCTCCTGCCTCAGCCTCCCAAGTAGCTAGAATTACAGGTACATACCACCACACCCAGCTAATTTTTGTATTCTTAGTAGAGACAAGGTTTCACCATGTTGGCCAGGATGGTCTCAATCTCCTGACTTCGGGTGATCCACCTACCTCAGCCTCCCAAAGTGCTGGGATTATAGGCGTGAGCCACTGCGCCTGGACTTTCTGCTTAGATTTTTAGAAATTCATCCACAGAGTCCAGGCACTAACCCTTTGTTCATTATATGGATCAAAGAGAGTTTCTCCGAACCAGCAGTTTACCTTTTTACTTTGCTTATGAAGACTCTTACCAAAATTAGTTTTTAAATATTCATGTAACTAAAATTATCGATGCCATCTATGCTTTTTTGAATTATGTTCAGTAACTTCTCCCCTACTCCCACATGACACAATTGTTATATATTTTGTTATCTGAGTTTCAAAATTTTGATTTTTTACATGAGTCTTAAATCCATCTGGAATTAAAATATGGGATTAATTTTTTCTTCCATGCAGTGAACTGTCACTGAATTATGTTTTAAACAGTCTTTTTCCCATTAACTGACATATCTCACAGAAGACATTCCCGTAGATTAACATGTTCACCGACTGGTTGATTTCTGTCTGGCTTCGAAATTCTGTTCCATTGATCTGTTCATCCACTCGGAATTTAATGCACTTTGGAAGGCAGAGGTGGGAGGATCACTTGAACCCAAGAGTTCTAGACCAGCCTGGGCAGCACGGCAAGACACCATTTTAATTATGAGAGCATTACAACATATCTCGAGTGTTCTTTCTTCAAGGCTTTTTGGCTTTGCCCTTGATTCTTCCACATGATTACGCAATCCTTGCATTTCAGGAATAAACTATCTTCAAATAAAAAAAAACTTCGTAATCAACTGTAGGTTCAAGTTCCTAATATTAATAATTAAGATTTACATAGTTCTATTCAGCAGTGAGATTAGCCTATATGTTGTCAAGGCTGTACTACTTCACAACATGAACTGATGAGCAGTTTCTCTTTTTTATTTTCTGCAAGATTGATTTAATTAACTAATCAATCAGTTATTTAATTAGACAGGGTCTTGCTGTGTCACCCAGGCTGGAGTGCAGTGACCTGATCTCAGCTCACTGCAACCTCCGCCTCCCAGGTTCAAGTGATTCTCCTGCCTCAGCCTCCCAAGTAGCTGGGATTACAGGTGCCCGCCATGATGCCCAGCTAATTTTTGCATTTTTGGTAGAGATACGGTTTCAGCACATTGGCCAGGCTGGTCTTAAACTCCTGACCTCAGGTGATCCGCCCACCTCGGCCTCCCAAAGTGCTGGGATTACAGGCGTGAGCCACTGAGGCCAGCCCAGTTCCTGTGCTTTTATTTGAGATGGAGTCTTGTTCTGTCACCCAGGCTGGAGTGCAGCGGCAAGATCTCAGCTCTCTGCAACCTCCGTCTCCCAGGTTCAAGCGATTCTTCCGCTTCAGCCTCCCAAGTAGCTGGGACTACAGGCGTATGCCACCTTGCCCAGCTAATTTTGTATTTTTAGTAGAGACGGGGTTTCTCCATGTTGGCCAGGCTGGTCTTGAACTCCTGACGTCAGGTGATCCTCCTGTCTCAGCTTCCCAAAGTGCGTGGTTACAGGTGTCAGCCACCAAGCATGGCCACATTTTTTTCTTATCAGTCTTGCCAGGGATTTGTCTACTTATCAGTTTTCCCAAAGGAACAGATCTTTGTCTCAGTTCACCTTTTCTTTTGCTTCTGTTTTCTGTCACCAATTCTCACTCTTTCACATGAGTTATGTAGGTCTGTAAAAACTCTGGAAATACATACCCCAGACTGGTGATGGCACAGCGGTTACCTGTGACTAGGAGACAAATGGGGATGTGCTAGTGAAGGCAGGTCGTTTTTTTTTTTTTTTTTTTTTTTTTTGTAGCGATGGGACGGTCTCACTTTGTTGCTCCGGCTGGTCTCAAACTTCTGGGCTCAAGTGATCCTCCCACCTTTGCCAAATGCTGGGATGACAGCTGTGAGCTACTCTGCCCGGCCTTGTCAGTTTCTGCTTATTTCTGGTTTTTGTTTTTTTGAGATGGAGTCTCTCTCTGTCTCCCAGGCTGGAGTGCAGCGGGGTGATCTCGGCTCACTGCAACCTCAGCCTCCTGGGTTCAAGCTGATTCTTGTGCCTCAGCCTCCCAAGTAGCTGGGATTACAGGCGCCTGCCACCACGCCTGGCTGATTTTTGTATTTTTAGTAGAGATGGGGTTTTGCCATGTTGGCCAGGCTGGTCTTGAACTCCTAACTGCCAACCTCGGTCTCCCAAAGTGTTAGGATTACAGGCATGAGCCACAGCACCCCGCCGTCACTTTTTATTCAATAAAAAGTACTGTATTTTTTGAACTTCTGAAATGAGAATATATCTGTGCATTTCTTATATAACTTAAAAAGCAGCAATTAAGAGCAGGGTAACCGTGGCACCGGGACGACCCAGTTCTTAGAGAAGGTCGTATATCGGCTGCTTTTCTCTGCCCCTGGGAGAGCTCTGAAGGGATAGGAATAACCCGTTTCCTCCGGGATCCGAAAATCTTAGTTTCATACTTTCTTTCCTTTTTGAATCCAGACCTAGTTGCACTGCAGTTTGGTTCAACTTAATCTCATAATGGATGTCGGAAATGGCACCTCATGAACTGAGAAGGCGCCTGTCCCTCACACCAGCACCGTGGGACTTGCCCCTGCCCTCTGGGTTGGCGCTGAGCCCTCTGACCTGAGTTCTCACCTGCTGCTGCTTGGGGTCGCCCTCTGCAAAGACAGGGACTCATATGTGTTCACCAGTGTTTCCCACACCCTCAACAGTGCCAGAACACGACAGGCGTTCAACAAAAATGTGGTGAAAAGAACTGCAGGGCCCACGGTGGTGAAGATTCGCCATGATTCGCACTGGGATGTAAGGACAGCAGGCTGAGCTGTTTCCACATTTGGAAGTCTCCTGACTCCACCTGCTTCTAAGGTCACCATTCCACCGCGGTCCAGGCGTTCACCAAGCTGAGCTGAGACAGCAGCATCCTTTCTGCCCCGCTAGGCTCTGCCCGCTGCTGCTGCCACGCCGGGTCCCGGGATCTCTGTGGGGCTCCCTTCCTCTGGGGTGGGCAGCTCCTCAAGCTGGTCTCTGCGCCCTTGGGTTGAGGGTGGCACCGATTCCTCCCTGCCCTTAACGATGCGCTCAAGCTTCGCCCCGTCAGTGACACACTCTGCGGTCTGTCGGTCGCACAGTCTGGATCTGAACCAGGTGCTGCCGCATACAGTGGCGGTCAGCTCAGCACGCGAATTCTCCGGGCCTGCAGTATCTGCACCCTGGAATGGGGTCGGTGACTGTGTACATGTGCTGCGGCTGTCCCGAGGCCAGACGTGCGCGGCTCAGCGGGAAAATGACAGCGCAGGCCTCGAGCTCGCCAGGCAGGAGCTGAAGCCACACTCGCCCCCACGCTCCAAACACCAGGGGCTGGCCGGGCTGCCCCTCACATCCCCTCCTCCCTGCAGGCTGAGCACACGGCCCCCTAGACCCAGCACCACAGCCAGGCTGGGGACCTGCGGAGTGGTCCCAGCCCCTGGCCCTGCCCACTCCGCAGCTCCTTCTCTTCCCAAGTGACCTGACCTGCAGCTCACAGCCTATTATCCACTAATAAACATGAACTTCATAATTAAACATCAATAAACAGAAAAGTAGAAAGGTTTGAAAAGAATGATTTTCACCTTAAAAAGTAAGTAATTACTTAAAAAGTGACTGTAGATACATACAGGGTAATTATTATACTCTTACTGGTAACTCAAACTCAGTTACACATACATGAAACCAAGTGAGCCTCTCAGAGATTCTGTGACCAATACAAACTGCACCGTGGCACTCGGTGGACACAGAAGTTGCCAACCGAGGGAGGGGTGAGCCAACCACATGGCCCCAGCTGCCCGAAAGTGCCAAGACAGGGCACGAGGCCCCCTGCCGGCCCAGGGGTGAGCAGCTGCTGCAGCCGGGACCTGGGCACTCACACGGCCTTCTCCTCTTCAGCTCAACTACAAAGACATTTTTTTTTACTGCAAAAAGATTTTTGGCCAGGCACGTGAGCTCATGCCCGTAATCCTAGCACTTTGAGAGGCCGAGGTGGGTGGATCACCTGAGGTTAGACCAGCCTGGCCAATGTGATAAAACCCCATCTCTACTAAAAATACAAAATTAGCTGGGCATGTTGGCACGCGCCTGCAATCCTAGCTACTTGGGACGCTGAGGCAGGGGAACTGTTTGAACCTGGGAGGTGGTGAGCCGAGATCTCGCCACCGCACTCCAACCGGGGCGACAGAGCGAGACTCCATCTCAAAAAAAAAGGATTTAACCTCAACTCCTAAACGGTTCAACCGTGCTTTAATTAAATCTTGATTTCTCAGGGAAATCATTTTGGTAGCACCAGAAACAGGACCGTTAAGGCATACAGCAGGAATTTTCAACATACCAGGTAGTATTCTTCCAACAAGAGCATCTAACAGCCAAAAAGATTCTTCTTCATTATTTGTGATGAGAATCAGATATCCTGCTATAAAATTCATTCCCTGAAATTAGAAAAAAGAGAAACAGAAATTCCCATTGAGTTTACACAATTCTGCAATCATTCGGCTACTAACTACCCCATTTCAATATCTCCTGCTCTCCCCTAAACCTGCATAATTCCAGAATGATCCTTTAGTAGGTTGCTAGAATTGCTAAGTACCTACCATCCAGTGATGTGTTTGGTCAGGCTTTCATGAAGAAAAGAAAAAGCAAAAGGAAATAAAGAAATCCTGAATACTAAAATTAAAGACCCTTCCACTAATGGTAACCTTGTGATATAATAATTTACCACTGGTTTCTAAAGAAATTTCTATCTACCAATAGCATAAAACTCTCTATCAGAGATAAAACTATACCAACGACCACATTTTATAAAAACCGTAAGGAACACGTTCTGACATTTGGGTGTTGGGAGAATTTCGTGGTGGAGACCCTTTGGGGAAATCAAGGTGCACACGTGTCAAAGGGTGGGTGCTGCCTGCAGACATCACAGATGTGACCCTTTCCATCGAGGCAGTCCCAGACCCCGGGGGCTTCGCAGCCCTGAGTCGGCGCCATTTCCAGGCGACTGGGTTTTACGACTTAAATTCCCTTGTCACTCATCTGTAATTTTTTTTTATTTTTTTAATTTTTAAAAATCTTTTGGGTGCTGTGACTTGGATTGTAATTTCTAAAATAGTATTTTTCTAGTAATAAGGGGAAAGAATCCAACTTCAGTCAACCAACATCAATTAACATGATAGGAAGTGCGGAGGGGCAGCCACAGAGCGCGGCGCTGGAGCACCACAGTGGCCTCCGTCGCACACGGATGTGGCGCTGCCCTCCTGGAGCCAGAGCACTCGTGGACATGCGCAGCCTTACCCGACCCCTGACCTGGAGCTCCCCTTAAAAACAGACCCTACGAGTTTGACTCAAAAACCAAAGTAACCAGTGCGGAGAGATCATGATCCATAGGTTGATGATGGAAGTGCTGGGAAGAACCGACCCCTTTGAGCTGATGACAGAAATGTGAGGAGACCTCTGTGGCCGAGAGCGGGCCCAGGGAGACCTCTGTGGCCGAGAGCAGACCCCTTCGAGCCGACGGTGCCACCGGTCCTGGGAGAGGGCCACTGTGTGGACACCATCAGCACAGGGAAATGCAGGTGGGCGACTGCCGTGCAGAAAACTCAGCACGGGCCGGGCACGGTGAGGGATCCTAGCCCTGTGGGAGGTGGAGAGGGAGGATCGCCTGAGCTCAGGAGTTCAAGACCAGCCTGGGCAACATGGCAAGACCCCAATCTCTACAAAACATACAAAAAGTACCCGGGCGTGGTGGCGCACCTGTGGTCCCAACTCCCAGGGAGGCCAAGGTGGGAAGCGCTTGAGCACAGCAGGTTGAGGCTGCAGTGAACCAAGATCGTGCCACTGCACTCCAGGCTGGGTGACAGAGCGAGACCCTGTCTCTAACCAAAACACAAACAAACAAAAAGCTAAAAAGGCAGAACACAAGATCCTACGTGCACTGCGTAACTCTACACGTATGCTATGCATTGAACTGTGTCCCCCGCCCCCAGATTCATCTGTTGAAGTCCTAACCCCCATCCCTCAGGCTGGGACCCTGTTTGGGAGAAGGACTGTTGCAGATGTGGTTACAGACGGGGTCAGGGTGGTGTAGGTGGGCCTGAATCCGACAGCCTGGTGTCCTTGTCGCAGGCGGGGCTTTGGACACAGGCACGCACCGGAGAACGCACGTGGAAATGCAGGCAGAGACTGGCGTGGTGATGCCACCCGCCGGGGGGCACCCAGGACTGCCAGGACCCAGCAGAGCTGGAGCGAGGCCTGGGACAGTCCCTCCCTCACGGCCTCAGAAAGAACGCGCCCTATAGACATGGCGACCTCAGACACACAGCCTCCAGAGCTGAGAGAGAATTTGTTTCCACTGTTTACCAGGCTGTGGTGTTTCATTGGGGCCTACAGCAAACTGACAGGTGCACATCTGTGCATACAATGTGCATAGGTGCCTCTAGGTTCCAAAGCCACCTCAGCTCTGCCATTCTGTTAGTATACAACACTGTGTTTGGTTTTTCAGAATAGAGATGGGGTCTTGCTATCCTGCCCTGGCTGGTCTTGACCTCTTGACCTCAAGCAAACAATCCCCCTGCTTGACCTCCCAAACTGCAGGATTATAGGCAAGGGCTACCCAGGCGGGTGGTGGTTTTTGGTGTTTTGGGTTTTTTTGAGACAGGGTTTGCTGTGTTTCCCAGGCTGGAGTATAGTGGTGCAGGCTTGACCTCCCAGGCCCAGACGATCCCCTCACCTCAGCCCCTCCAGTAGCTGGGACCGCAGGCATGTGCCACCACACCTGGCTAATTTAAAAAAGGGTTTTCAGAGATGGGGTCTCACCACCTTGCCCAGGGTGGTGTCTGCATTTTAAATAAAGCCGTTTTTGGCAGGGCATGGTGGCTTACGCCTGTCATCCCAGCACTTTGGGAGGCCAAGGCAGGTGGATCACCTGAGGTCAGGAGTTCAAGATCACCTGGCCAACATGGTGAAACCCCGTCTCTACTAAAAATACAAAATTAGCCGGGTGTGGTGGCACGCACCTCGGGGAGGCAGAGACAGGGGAATTGTTTGAGCCCGGGAGGTGGAGACTGCAGTGAGCCGAGATCACACCACTGAGCTCCAGCCTGGGCGACAGGGCAAGCCTCTGTCTCAAAACAAAAAGCTGTTTTAAGCAGAATGATGCAGAGGGTTTCCTGGCGGTTCTACCTCAACTCCAGAAGGCCAAAGCCTTGCTCCTGGACAGCCATAAAGGCTGCGAGTGGCAGGAATCCTGTCGGCAAAGGCAGGACCCTCCCAGCTTCGCCTGAGGCGGCACTGCCTGCCCGCTGCAGAGCCACACACGCCAGCCCGAGGTGCGGCTGTGCTGGCGGCGGTGTCCCGTGGCTCTGCTGCTGGCCTGTCATGGGGGCTGTCCTCCTCACACACGTCTGCCCTTTCACCCTCGGGAGCATTCACTCTGCCAGGGGCCAGGCCTGGGGCTGTCGGGCGGGGCTCCGAGGGCCAGTGGCCCACATTCCCACAAATGTTCACTCCAACTGCATTTCCTGGAGGGTGCATGCCTGTCTCCTGCTCCTACAGGACGTTACGGAGGCGTCCCTGGGACTGCCAGTTAAAACAATTTAATTTGTTTCAAACCACCCATCAGGACGAGGTCCTTAACTGTCCTCCTAGAAACGTTTAAGCCACAACCCCAAGGAACCTGTGAAGCACACGGCCTGGGTGCCAGGAGAGCTCTCCAATTCTGTGCCAGCCGCGGGTGCAAGGCTCCCAGCCACGGGGACTCACAGGCAGTCCCGGGCCGTGCATGCCCCTGGAAACCTTCTGGAGGCCAGCGCTGCCCAGACGCCCGCCCTGCCCTCGGGAGGCTCCGAGACTGGAGCGGCACAAGCGGCTAAAGGCCTGGACAGGACACACCCGGCTGGGAGACTGCGCGGCTCCTGGCTGCCCCATTCCGGCCTGTCTCCTCCACCAGTTACCGAGAACAATGCCCTTCACGTGCGCCCAGCTAGGCGGCCCCGGGAGGCGCAAGGACTCTCCCAACCACACCTGCTGGTTCACACCACGGAACCAGCCAGCTGGGGGCAACAGTGTAGGCGGCAGACACGCCGGGAGCGCCTCAGAGGACCAATCACACCCCATACTACACGTGCCCCACAGAACAGCACACACACCCACGGCACACGCGCCCCACAGAACAGCACATGCACCCACGGCACACGTGCCCCACAGAACAGCACACGCACCCACGGCGCACACGCCCCACAGAACAGCACACGCACACCACAGAACACCCGCCATATAGCACACGCACCCCACAGCACACACGCCCCACAGACCAGCACACACGACCCGCAGAACAGCACACGCACCCCACAGCACACGCGCCCCACAGAACAGCACACGCACCCCACAGCACACGCGCCCTACAGAACAGCACACGCACCCCA